TCCCTACACCAGGTTGCACAGGAAAGTGTCCAGGCGGGTTTTGAACATCTCCAGAGAAGGAGACTCCACAGCCTCTCTGGGCAGCCTGTCCCAGTGCCTGTCCCCCCCTCACAGTAAAGAAGTTTTTCCTTAAGTTTGTCTGGAATTTTGGTGCTCCAGTTTTTGCCCATTGCCCCTTGTCCTGTCACCGGGCACCACCGAAAAGAGCCCAGCCCCATCCATTTGGCCCCCACATTTCAGATGTTTATAGACATTGATAAGATCCCCAGAATGTCTTTATTTTATCGTAAGCGCCAGGAAGAACAGAGCTAACATAAATTAAACATTGGAGCAAATCAAATTTAATTGAAAAGAAAACAAGCATGATAATTGTGCAAAGGAAATTTAATTCATTTAGGGTTAACTCTTGACTAAGGTTTTTCATAAAGCATTTTTATGTTATTACTCTGCCTTATCTCCTCCCTTTCCCCCCTCCCCATGCGTTCCTATATTTATTATTGAGGTTCTTTGAGGATTGGTAGGTATTCCATTTTGAAGGGGTAAATTTATTTACCAGTGCCTTTCCTTTTAAACTGCATGCTCAGTAGTAAGACTTGCTCTTGGAGTATGGGTGTATGTATCTTTGGAATACTTAAAAGCTGACAAAAATAAACATAGTACTCTGGGCTCAGAAGTTAATCCTTCCTTTAGCAGTCATTGGTTGAAAATACGAGATACATGGCTGTTAAAGGCAAAGAATTAAGTAAAATTCTTACCTTTACTAAAAATTCTGCCTTCTTTGAAAATTCTGTTCAGTGTCCCTATTTATCAGCACATTTCCAAGTGCATTAAATACTGTTTCAGCTTCCCTGATGTATGAATTTGACTGTTTATGTGTGATACGGAGATTACTTTTTCCTGAAATACCAGAAGCGTGTCGTCAAGAAGAAGCCGATGTAATAAGCACTGGCGGTGCCTGGCGACTCGTGGCTCCAGCTCCGATCTGTGATCTGGTCTCCACAGATCCAGAGTCACCAACAGGTCACCGGTGTGTGGTTGGTTGGCTTCTCCAGCTGTATTTCTGCCCGTGCTCGCTGACACGAGGGTCCCCTGACACAGCCCCCAGCATATCCGCTCCCTTCCCTTGGCCCCGCTCCCTCAGGCGTAGGGCCCGCTCGGAAGTACCGGAGCGCGCCTGGCGATGATGCTGCTCGTGTCATCGCCTGCTTCCTTCAGTGAGCCACCCTTATAGCGACACAGCAGTTGCAAAAATGACAACTGGTTTTGCCTGAAGTTTGCACCATGGTAGTGTTTCAGCTAAAATAATTTTCCCTAATAATAAAGTTGATAAAACATAGAGAAGGAAGGGTGAGATTGTTTGGGTTTTTATCCTTAAAGACTTACCTGTAAATAATAGACTGGATTAGTTGGGGTGAGGGAAAGTTGCATTAAATTTCATTCTTTTAATTCTCCAGTGAGAACAGTCATCAGTTATTCACTGCCTAGCGCTTGGTAATACAGGTAGAGGAATTCTCAGTCACATTGTGATCTTGAAATGCAATGTTTAAAAAATAGAGGAATATTGGTATTTGGACCTCATTAATCAAAAAACCCAACATTCTAGCATAAGGGAAGATGAGAATGAGTGCAATGCACCACTTAGGACTGAAAATGTAATTTAATGGGAACTACATTAAATTAATCTAATTTAATCTAAACTAAATTCAATTTAAACTAAAGGGACAGACCACCTTTAAAAATCTCAAGGCACTTATTTAGAAGATGACTGGTAAATGTAGGAACTTAATGTTTTGCCATATTTTTTAAAAATCTTGGGCTTTCGCAATACCTTTCAGATTACTAATATTGTCAAATAAGAAATATCAGGTTTGCAATAGTTACAGATTGGCCAAGATCCTGGGGCAGGAGTAGGGCTCAAAGTGCTAACGGAGCTTCTCACTGCTCAGGCCATGGGGCTTTGCTCTTTCCCAGCTGCTGAACAAACACTATTTTCTAGTGTGTTTTCAAACCTACAGGGGAACAAATGTAAGTCATAGTGATGAAAGTTAATTTTGATGCCTTGAATTATCTTTTTAAAATTACTAACCAAAGCCTTTTTCTTCCCTGTAGCCTTTTCTTACGCTTATGAATCTTCACTGTTCACCAGACATCCACACATTTCTGTGCAAAGCCTTTGTCCCTGCCTGCCTGGAGCAAGCTCACGTGATTCACCCTTGTCGAAACCTCTGTGAGAAAGTGTATTCTGACTGTAAGCAGTTGATGGACACTTTTGGAATCACGTGGCCTGAAGAGCTGGAATGTACCAGGTGGGATATTTTTCATATTGACAAGTGGTGGGGTGATGTTTTCATATTTGACCTAGACTAAGTTGAAAATCTGAGGCAGAGCATTAAATGTTACCTTGCTGTGGCTTCCCCATCACTGGTGACCCTACAGTGCTTATGTGTAGGACTATTTTTTTATTAAAACTTTTTCATTATTCAAATTATCACCTGCATTTCCTGCTTGTGACTTTTTTGCAATAAAGTTCTGCAGCAGTTCTTTTCAGTATTCAGATCCCTGCAAAAAGAAACTTTTTACCATAAGTTTCTTAAATTTTTAAATATTAAATGTTACAGCATGGATTTTGGTTTGGTTCCTGATCTCTAAACTAGGGATGATCATACTTACTTCACAGGGGGTTTTATAAGTAATTGCTCATAAAATAATGAAATATAAAATATTTTGTATTTGAATGGACACAGAGCATTAAATAGTAGAAGCCTAATCTTACTCCTAACTGCTTAAATGTGCAAATTCAATCTTGTGTTGCTTTTCCTGTACTGCCTGCCAAAAGTCTCTTTTTTAAAAAAAAATTCACCTTTTTCTCAAAGTTGTTCAAGTCTCTGTTCCAGAGAGAAGACAGTTAATACTATATTTAGGGAAAATATGAGTCTATATATATTAAATGGAAACCACAGAAAACACTGCAGTGTAATCTTCTTGAGATTCTGACCTTCAACTGCAGATATTTATAAATGATTAAGGCCAGATGTGTGTGGGGCTTTTTTTTGTGATGTCAGGGCAAGAAGTAGAGGAAAGAAGCAGAGAGTTGAAACTCAAATAACTTTTTCTAACCCTCATGCAGTTGCTAATCTGTGATAGGAGTGAGGGAGAGCTGGGACAGTAGAAATCCATATCAGAGTGAATATGACAGATGGCATTAATGCCATTTCCTTAGTTCTGCAGAAAAATTGAGGGGGGGGGGTTTAAAATGAGGAGGCATCAACTTTTTCCATCTAGTGTGAGCTTCTGTGTTACAGTAGTGCCACTCAGCACAGTAAATGGCTTCAAGAACTGTTCTGAAAAATTAGGAAAATTACAAGCAAATCCAGTTATTCAATATATCTTCCAAATGACATTCTAAATCAAATTACATTTTTTGCAGGAATCACTATAGCTTTAAATTATTCTATTGCTATTAGCATTTACTGAAAATGAACCTGCTCTGTTCATCCGTGAAAGGATGTCTGCCCAATAGCTGATACAGAGAAGTCCATGTAATGCAAGATGTTCTTAAAACAGCAGAGACTGCTGGAGCCTGTGGAAAAGGAGCTGGTGTGAGAATGGGCAGTGGCTGGAATCCTGAGATTCACACTCTCGTATTCTTACAGACATACATAAAACCTTTAAGACATGGGTGAATAAAGTTTGCACTGTTCCCATGCACACTGGTGCAGCCCCTGGTTAATGAAAGGATCTGCTACAGAATCAGTTTTCTTAGTGATGAGTCTGGATTTATTTGGACAGCACGATAATGCAGAGAAACAAAGAACTGAAGGGTTTTTTTAGCTCAAGCTGAGCTTGCAAACTGACACTGAGGGACTCTTACAATAGTGTTTGACAAAGACCATTTTGAGATTACAGAATATTACTTTAAAAGCTAGAATGCAAAACTTGTTCGTTTTAAGTATATGCTTAAACTCAGAATGTGTATAAATATAAATCCCATTTGTGTAAATGCTTACCCTGTTTGAGTTATACTTACATAATCTAATTTTAAGATACATCAAAAACTGCTAATACTATATTAACCATATAAAAAGGTGATATATTGTGTCAAAGTAAACCTTTGAGCAATTTTTAAGTTAATATTTTGGAGCTAGAAAAAAAATGCTAAAATAGTGATCATTTTTTGCAATGCTTATCTCTTCTGCTTTGCCTTTTTCAGTTCAGTAGTTTTATTGTTGTCGACACTGAAGTATTACTATAACACAAAAATTATAATAATAGTCACATACTAGCCATCAGTTAATTCTAGATACTGTCAGCCTTTTTCCTTTGTTCCTTGATTGAAGCTTGCGTTTTGTCAAGATCATTTGCTGTCTCCAAAAGTCTATTGTTACCCAGATTTTAAAAAAATTAACTACTGCAAATATTTTTATGTACGTATGTAAAAGTTTAGTAGAATTTAAGACTCTAAAAGAACAATTGCAATTTGAGTAGTGTTTCGTAATCAATAAAACAACAGCTAGAGAACAACAGTTAAATAGCTGTGTTTGTACAGTCTTCTATGCTGAAAATATTGAAGTCTGGTTTTTAAAATGCTACCTGATTTTTTCATATAATGCACATTTTGCAGGATCTACAAAATTTAACAGTGCTTAGAATCAGATTTTTTTTTTCATATTTCTAAGAAGTAATTATAGTTGAGAATGAGGGCTACTAAGAGATTTCCTCTTCTGTTTGTTTATGCAGACTAGTCAATTGTGATGAGACTGTTCCTGCCACTGCTGCTGTAACCACAGATGTACACGGAACTCGGAAGACCCCAGGCCAGGCCCGAAGGGATTTTGGATTCTGGTGTCCACGACACCTACACACGACCAATGGACAAGGCTACAAGTTTCTAGGAATTGATCAGTGTGCACCCCCATGTCCCAATATGTACTTCAAAAATTATGAATTGGACGTTGCAAAGAGCTTCATTGGAATAGTTTCAATCTTTTGTCTCTGTGCTACGCTTTTCACGTTCCTGACTTTTCTGATTGATGTTAAAAGGTTTAGGTACCCAGAGCGGCCGATCATATATTATTCTGTCTGTTACAGCATAGTCTCTCTCATGTACTTTATCGGATTTTTACTTGGGAACAGAACTGCCTGTAATGAGGCAGATGATAAGTTAGAAATTGGTGAAACAGTTGTTCTTGGCTCCCAAAACAAAGCCTGTACTGTCCTCTTCATGGTTTTGTATTTTTTCACTATGGCAGGAACTATATGGTGGGTGATTCTTACAATCACTTGGTTCCTTGCAGCAGGAAGAAAATGGAGCTGTGAAGCTATTGCACAAAAAGCCATGTGGTTCCATGCGGTTGCGTGGGGAATACCTGGTTTTCTAACCATTATGCTCCTTGCAATGAACAAAGTTGAAGGGGACAATATCAGTGGAGTTTGTTTTGTGGGTCTCTACGATCTGGATGCCTCTCTGTACTTCGTGCTTTTGCCGTTGTGCCTTTGTGTTTTTTTCGGTCTCTCTCTTCTTTTAGCTGGTATTATTTCTTTAAATCACGTGCGGCAAGTCATACAGCATGATGGCAGAAACCAGGAGAAGCTGAAGAAATTTATGATCCGAATTGGAGTTTTTAGTGGGTTATACTTGGTGCCACTAGTAGCACTTCTGGGATGTTACGTCTATGAACTGGTGAACCGGAAAACCTGGGAAACAACCTGGGTATTTGACCACTGTGACCAGTACCATATTCCTTGTCCTTACCAGGCAAGTAGCAGTTTCCTTTATAAATACTAGAAAGTTAATTAACAAAAGCCCCTATGCATCACCATATCTACTGTGCAGTTAGTAAATTATTTTCTCATTAAGTAATCTGTTCAAGAAATGCATTAAGTCAAAATCAGTGGTATCATGTTTTTGCTTTGAATTTTTTCACTAATCAAATTGATAGCACTCAGCAATTAAATTCCAACTCAGAGCTCTGAAGGGAATATATAATCTTTACAATATTTGAACTTACTGTTACAAATGTGTTGGGGGGAGGATCATTCTTCACAGTATCTATTCCTAAAAGTAGTTGCTCAGTATTTGTGTGCCTAGCTCAGTATCAAAGTACTTAAGGTGAATTTGCATCGATTTCAGTTGAAACTGAAATAATGATTCTTGAAAATTGAGTCTAAATTGGATTTAAAATACTGCTTATAACAACAGATTTAAAATCACTTTCCTCTTTTTTTTTTTTCTTCAAAGTATAGAAGTGTAAACCACTTGAAATTACAAAACAACTTTCCACTGTATTTTTTCCACAATAGCTGTCATTTGCAGGCTGATTTTCAGTAATCAGTGAAGAAATCTTACAAAAAAACCCAACCAACCAAAAAACAAATTAAAAAAAGAAAAAACCTAACAACCCAACAGCACTTTAAATTGTGGAGGTGCTCGTATTTAACATTTGACTCATAAAAAAACAACTTCCTTGGAAAGGCTTTTAAAGTAAATCTGCCCATGTTTAGTACTCTCTATGGATTAAATCTCTTGTAAGTACATAAAACTCCCTGCAATCACAAGTAATTTGTGGTTTGTTTCTTTCCATTTAAGAACAAATAGAAAAGAAAACACTATCACTAAGAGAAATGCAGGTGTCTCGTGTCATCTTTCATTGCTTTGCAATTACCATCTGTGTTTTTACTGTGATAAACTTACCATTGAAAAGAGGAATATAAACAGAGGCATTATGGAATGATAAGACTTGATCCTTCTATATTCTTAAACATCCTCTTTATCCTCTGTGTTGAAGTCAGTGTAAGCTGAGAGTAGCACAGCTCACAGACCTCTTGGTTTGCTTCCATTACTGTTCTTAACAAGTGCACCACTTCTTCAGTGGGTTTTACACCGAGCTCTGTATCAGCCTAAATGGTCCAACATATGCAAGGCTGAATACAAGGCTTTAATGCTTTTTAAAAAAAAACAACTTGTTTTGTAGTGCTTAAATGTAACAGCTTGGCATAATAAGGCAGAAAGAGTATGTATTCTCAGCCTTTAATTAACCTATTGGAAAGAGTAAATAGCAACAAGGTATGTTACACAAAGACATACTTAATGGGATCTGTCCCTATAATAAGCTGCATGTGCTAACTATGGAGTAGCTTAAAGTGGTGTGCTCAGCCTTGGCTTACCTAAGCGATCTTGGAGACTTCTATTACATTGGCCAGATCAAAACCAAATAAAAAGAGACCTCAGTTTAAGTAGTTCAGGTTACCTGGCTAAGAAAAATAGCGACTTTCATAGATGGGACTGGCAGATAAGCCAGGTAACATATATTAAATTTGCAGCATGGAAGCAAAAGATAATAATCTCTTACTGAGTTAAATATCTCAGCTCCTGTGATCCTGTTCTGCAAATAGGTGGTTTAATTTTGCAATAAACAGAAAACTAATATGTAGCCCTCCGGCTCCTTGAAGGTACTGTCTAATCTGATTAACTTCCAACTTATCCACTTAATGTTTCTTTTAAGTTGAAGGGATAAATCTTATACATACAAACTATCTCTGAAGAACATGGTTACTAATACTATTACCCCCCAATTTATCTTTCCTTTCAATTTGAAAGAAAAATACTTCCTTGTGACTAATCTCCCGTCTATGTGTTCAGCTGTAGACATTAACCTGGTCTGACTTGACTGTACATGTCTAACACTCGTCTGCAGTACAAGCCTCAACAAAGAACACCACCCATAAGGAGAAAGTCTCTTTTCTACATAATTTGTTTGTTTTCAGCGTTTAAAAAAATAAATCAACAAATATATTTTCTTCTTTACATTTATTAAACTTTTTAATCTTCTAGGCAAAGGCACTAGCAAGACCAGAAATATTTTTGTTTCTGATGAAATATTTGCTGACATTAATTGTTGGCATATCTCCAGTCTTCTGGGTGGGAAGTAAAAAGACCTGCTCCGAATGGGCCAATTTCTTCAACAGAAACAGAAAAAGAGAGTAAGAACAATTTTTTTATTCCTGTTTTTTAAAATAAGCTGGATTTCAGACATGTTTCTTAAATATAGCTCAGGTAATTAAAATGTTGCCCTTAGAATCTTTCTTTTTTGGAGTCTAAATGCTGCATATGGACATCAGCGAAATGCCATTGGAGTCTGTGGAGGTTTTACATATGCAATGACTTTTTGACAACATTCTCAGAAGATAGAAAATATTTTCCTCTGCTGATTTGTTCTCTTTCATAGAGCAGAAGATACATTGTTGTGTTTAGCATTGGCTAATACATCTCTGGTTTCCAGTCAAATGAGGGAAGCTAATTTCGGCCATCAATTTAGATTCTCTCATGTGTTCCCACTGCTTCATTTGGCACAGTACTTGGCTATGTTTATTGTCATGCAATAATAACATCATCTGCTTTTCTTCTCTGACAGGCTTGTCCTATTTTAAAATTAATTTTCATGGAACCCTCCTTAGTATCACTTTTACTGTATTAATCTACTCTTCCTTTTTTTTTTTTTTTTTTCTGAAACAGAATGATTCAGTTTTATTACTTAATTTTAGTAATTTTATATCTATGGATTTAAACAATTATAATCTCCATTTCTTGTAGTTGTCGTTTTTTTCCATTCCTTTTTTTTCCCTTGATTATTTCTTTTTATATTATCTATGTTATTAATAAATTATACTGTTGTTTTAGATCTTTTTGATTTCTTTGGATTTCCCAAGACAGCAGTCCTTAAACTCCTTTTATTTTACATCTACATTCCTTGGTGGTGAGCTTATAGCTTCCTTTCCCTCTCCTCTCTTTTTCCGTTTCCTGTATAATTTTTCTTGTGTACCAGATGTTAACTGCTTTCAGCTATAACAATTTAAAAATAATGAAGTCAATTTGATAATGCTCTACTTTCCCCCCCCTCCCCTCCCCCTTTCACTTGAACAAAGTTTACTTTCCATAAAGTTAATCTGGTAATACAGCTGCTTATGAGCTAATCCTGCTTTCCTCTCTTAGATTATTAATCTACTGAAGTCATTGGACCTACTTGCAGAAGTAAGAAATGTAGAAATCTGCTTTATTTAATTGTTCCACAGACATAATTAATTTGTAGCCATTATGATCAGATTTTTTTCTCCTCTTTTCACATATATTTTTTTTCTTTGTGTTCATTAACGTCCAGCTCAGATTGCATCACTGGTTGCTATTCTTTCATGTTTTTGTGTACAGAGCTATATTACATTATATCTAAGGTTGGTTATCTTTTTAATTCAGTTCCGTGCTTGTGTTTTCTTGCAGTCCAATCAGTGAGAGTCGAAGAGTGCTGCAAGAATCATGCGAATTTTTCTTGAGGCACAATTCCAAAGTCAAACATAAAAAGAAGCACTACAAATCAACTTCACACAGACTGAAAGTAATTTCGAAGTCGATGGGGACTAGTACGGGTGGCACAACAAATCATGGAACTTCTGCAGTAGCAATCACTAATCATGATTACTTAAGCCAAGAAACTGTTGCAGAAATTAAAACCTCTCCAGAGACATCTGAGAAAGAGATAGAGGCAGACAGAACATCAGCCCGAAGAGTCGAGGAAGGTGAAAACAGTGGAGATCAAATGTTATCTAGTTCCAAACTGACCATGGATCAGGTGGAAAAAAGAAACAAAGCAGATAGCACATGTGATATGAGTAGCTTGGCTGAGAGTATGAAGAGAGTAGGTGAAGGAGGAAGGTAAGGCTCCTTAACTCAGTGTTCTACTTGTGTGTTACCACTTGTTTTGTAAGTTTTCTGTTTCTTCTCTCTGAAGAATCAGTATACTCTCAGTATACCAATAACCTTCAGTAGCTGTCAAGAGTACTGTAATTCTTGCAAACTGTATTGTATGGCCATGTGTCTTTAGCATATGGGCTATTTTATATTTTTGTAAGATTCTTCTTTTCCTTTTAAGCATTAAGTGCTGGAACTTCAGCTTTTGTAGGATGTTTTTGTGTGATTGAACAGTGACCCTCAAGAAGTCTTTGGCTGCAGTGCAATCATTTTGAGAGGTGATGAGTCGGAAAAAGAACAATGGTGACCCTAAGCTTGGAAAAATATACAGAACTGTACTGCATTCTCCTGAAAAAAATATAGCTTAAGACATTTTTTTTTTTTTGCTAAATATGTATTTTTTCCAGATTAATGCACTGTGCTTAAAATTGACTCCCTGTGTTTTAATTTTCATTACTTACAGAATAACTCCTAAAAACGATTTTATTGAATCTCCTCCAGTACAAAGCAGCTGTTCCCAAATACCTGATGTCTCACAGTCAGCTTCCGTATCACTACTTGTCTACTCAGCTTCAGACACCAGAAGAGAGTTGGATTCAGGAAACAGTTCAAACCCTTGAAAGACTGAAATTTTATATGAATGTTTTAAATGTATAAAACTGATACAGATTCTGTGTTACACTGGAAATAATGGATGTTCTGTGCCTTATTAAAAAACACACATATCTTGTTTTGCACTTAAAAAAAATTAAGTTTTGCTGTGGGGAAAGTTAGCAATAATGTATTATATTTAATCCTATCCAGGCATAATGGAAATTGAAGTTCTGTAGGACATGGCTGGATTGACTAGCCGTAGTTTAAGAAAAAGATGAGAGAAATATTTTTCCCAACATATAAAGAACACTTTATAATGAATTGCATTAAAGTAATGCTTAGAAAGCACTGTTGCTTTTCAAGGCATAAAAGTTACATCTGCATCTTTGATATTTTTCAAAACGTGTTAATTTTTTTCCTCTTTTTTTACTGTGTCTTAAACAGCAGTGTTGCTTAAGGGATACACACATTTATAAATACTCTCTAAATTATGTGTCGTGATCTATCAATTATAGCACTGGTTTATGGTAGTTTGTACACTGAATATGAAAGGGAATCTGGAATTATAGTGATTTATTTTGTATATAAAAATTAATTCTGTAAATAACTGTGTAAGGTCAATACTTACCACTACTGTTTTGTATGTATTGTACAAACTTGGTGAAGTTAACATGCTTCCGTTCGGTTGTCGCTAGAGTCAGCAGCCCTGTGGTGATCAGACGATGTCCCTTCGTCCTGAGCACAGCAGATTGTACCTTCCTATGTGACATGCACTGTACTCTGTGCAGCAGGGGCAAGACTGCTCAGAGGTCTGTGTGTCCCGTGACAGGGATAACGCGTTAGATGCAGCACTGCTTCAAAACACTGCTTCTTGGAGCCCCTCCTGGTGTGGTGGTCCAGTGCGTTGTGCCAAAGAAGAAAACACTTCAGATCCCCGTTAGCGTGAGCGGGGGGGGACACAATCTGAAGTGTACGCTTTGGGGTTTTTTTACTGAGCTGCAGTGAAAGTGTGTGTCTCACATTGTTTCTGTGCAAGTAACTTAATTTTTTAAAAATTCTGTAGAGAAATATCTTTCAGAAAATAAACTGTGGAGTTATTAATATACAGGCTTGTTTAACAATATATTTACTTAAAATATGACCTTAGTACTTTTTGTACAAGCTTAATTTTCTATATGCTACAGCAATATATTGTATTTAAACCAAAAGACCTTAATACACGTAGCCTTTCTTATGGTAGGGTGGTACTCAAGAGCAAGTCCAACTGACGTAGAAAAGAATTTCATTGTTTGGCTCTTAAGAAGTCCTGCCTCTGATGGAATCAATGTGATTTATTACTTGAGATGTTTTGGAGACGAGATTTTGCTGTTTTCTAAACCTAAATGTCAATGCATTTTGGACTGTTCAGCATCTTGCATTTGATTACTAATAGGAATATTTCTCAATATTTTTATATTATGCAGAGAAATTATTTGGGTCACATTCATGGTGATGCTTTGAACAGTCAAGCAAAACTACATGGTACAAAGGTCATGTAAATGCTGAATCAAATAGGAACTGCAGTTCTGATAAACCAAAGTTTAAATCGTGTATTAAAAATTGAATGTATTTACCTTTATATTACAGAATCTGCATTTTAGCATTTGTAATTTATTGCCTTAAAGAGGACATGCTATTTCTTTTATAACTTCCCTATTAAAAATATAGAGTTCTTGCTGCTGAGAAGGACAGTGAGAAAGATCTGAAAAGTCTCCTCCGACAATGTACACTAAGTACCCTTCATTCTCGTAGTCGTGTTTGTAAACGGGTAACTTTATACACATGTTCAGTGGTTTCATTATTACTGGTTTTGTTAGTAATAAAATACACTGTTGTATAGTAAGAGCTTCTGAGTTGGTATTTCTTATTAACTAGATATAGCCTATTTGTTGCTTTATTACTGTAGTATTTTTGCACCCAAGACACTTTAATGTACTTTTTCTTAGAGCTGTGTGAGGTAGTAAGTATTGCAGTGTTTTTATCCCTCCTGTGTAAGTGAGAAACAGAGACAGAACAGTGCTGGAAATTGTTCACATGAACACGGAGAGTTATGAAGGAGTGAGAAGCTGAACTAGTTCTTTCAGCCTAGAGTTCAGAACATTTTCTTTCATGACTTCTAGGTAAAGACCTCCTTTAGATCACATAAAGTATGTATTTCCACACTATGCGCTTGCTGCAATCTTCTTAAAATGCTGATACACATTTTAAACCTATTTAATATTATTCCCTTTTTTAGGTAGTTCAGAAAAAGTCATGTTTTTGTGGTCACTGTTCTAAAAAAGATTAATACAAAGTAATTTTGAAGCTGCAGCAATACTGTGGGCTTAAAAATAGATGTATTTTTCAAAGAACTGTGAAATACTAAGCAGTAATCATAACACTGATGGGAAGTGAAATGCATCCGTGGTAATTGAGACTGTAGCACCTGTGTGTTCCTGTGCTGCTGTACCAGAAATAACATACAGGCTGTGAATTCCCAAGGTGACTTTTATAGCTAAAGAGATTGTGATCCTTGGAAACTTTAACCTTGAAACAGCCAAGCAGTAACTGGAAAGTTAAACAGCTCTTTGAATGCCCACAAAAGTGATGGAGGGAAAGAAACTGAAAGAAAAGAGGTGGAGAGATGAGTCAGAGTATGGAAGAAAAGCTGTGCAGTGATGGGCTACAGGGAACCTGATAAGGTTTCTCCAACAGAATGCATTCAGGTTATTTGCTTCCATCTGTTACTTGACTAAAGTTAAAACTGAAAACAGACTATTCATATTAAAAGGGCTTTTCTTAAACTGTAAGAATAACTTCTTGCTGGGACATCTCCATCAGCCGAAGTAATTTGGAGACTGGCTATCATCTGAAAGATGCACTATAAATCCGACAGTTTAAATACAGCCATTTTAGTCTAATTTTCTGCCTTCGTTTGCAGAAAGCTGGAATAAAGGGTGCTGATAACTTCTCCAAGCTTTAAAATGGTCTTCTTTCTCTTAATGGATCTGTCATAAATCACTTCAAAGTATGCATTACACTGAGTTTTCAGGTTGCATACAAAATCTTTCAAAGGACAAGATAAATTTAACATACTAAATCATGTTTGATTTGTGATGTAAAGAGCACCTGAAATTACCAATACAGTAGTTTTATGGTATGACTTGTGTGTACTGTATTTTATGGCCCTATTTTGCTGCTTTTTTTTTTAGTGAAAATTATGGTAGAATTTACCCAGAGTATAAAATAAATCTATGCACATATTTGGAAAAAAAATAGTCCAAGTTTGCAAAACTAACCCAGGATACAGAAAAATAGTTATTTTGTTTATATTTGTAACATTTAAAAGGTGCTATTAATAGATAATAAGAAAAATATCTGCAATATTTAAAACCTCTTTAAATACTTTTGCTTTTTTAAACTTAATTCAATAATGGAGCACTAACAAGCTGAAGCATCATACTATTGTCTTTGACAATTGTTCACCTGATTTACAGAAAACTGTACGTCCTTTTTCATTACAGGATACAGAATATACTTGATTTAAAGACGTTCAAATCCAGTTGAATTTCAGAAGGAAAATAAGAAAAACATTTAAATAGGAAAAGGTAAAAACTTCTTTAATAAAAATAAGTTTAGCATTCTGCAAAGCACTGAAAAACGCAGTAGCTGAATAGGATGAGGAATCGTATTTCCCTTTGAAGTTTGACCACCCAGTCTCAACATGCAATTTCAGAGGGCTGCACATCAAAGGAGAAACGCTACATCCCTCCCTTGACACTGGCCCCTTGTTGAATCGGTCTGTGGAGGTATCTGACCACTCGCTCTTTGGCTGCGTTCATTGGTAAAGATCTCTGCCAGTATTAACCACTGGTATTTGCAGTAATTTAGATGGCTGGCACCAAAGGTATTCTAGAGTCTCATGGGAATAAATGTTATTTCCTGTGCATTACTTTTTTTTGCACTTATTCTTTCACACTTGTTTTTGTCCTTTATCATACTCATATTTTTTTTAATGGACTTGAGTTTAACTGTAATTAAAAATAAAGTTAGGCAATCTATACCACACCTTCATGAGCTGTCTGCTGTGTATCTCTAGAAGCGGAGCTCAGAGTATGTTTCTGATGTACATCTATGAAATTCACTTCTGTATATTAACTGAATTTTATTTCCTATTAAAAAGCACTTGAGATGCAAAGTATAATTGAAGGATTTAAAAACGTGCTGGGATGAGTTCTTCATTAATCCTCTATTTCAACTTTGCTCATCAAAACTACATCTAAAATAAAAGTTTGCTTTATTTGAGGTCTTACTAGTTAAAGTAATGACAAACATGAGATATCATTAAACCTACCTTCATTAAATGGCTCACAGCTGGTTTCTCAGCACAAACAGGAGCTGGAGGGCAGAATAGCTCCTGCAAGAAGAGCTGTGTGGACACAAGCAGTTTTTGTGGAAGTGCTAAATGGGCACCCAGTACTGACGTAGGTGAACTGGAGGGACACTGATCTCCAGCCTAGAGGGCATGCTCTCGGCTATGGCAGTACAGTCATCAGAGAACATAGGGTGTTTTCAGTGGAGAGGAATAAACTGGTATTTTAGGAGTCTTGACATACAAGGTGAAGAGAAATGGCAATAAGACATTTCACTTCCATTAAGTAGATTTGTAAGTTACAGAGGTGATGGTGGCATCATCAGACACAGCCACCAAAGGAGAAAACATGTTCTGTGTTTGTCATGTATGAAGGATGACCAAAGTATCTATATTTTTATGAGGTAACGTGTATCCTACTTTATCTTCCTGATGTTCTGCCTGACCACATGAAACTAGATCACAGTTTCAGTTTCATGGTCCTGGAGGAAATGATTAGTTAGTTAACTAGTTGGTGTTAAATTACCTGGGAAGCTGCATTCTCTGCAGACTCAGCTACTGGTATCATACCTACTAGCCACTGAAGATGGAGGATTTGAGGGTGCTGAAGCAGCTGGACAGGTTTCTTGGCACCAA